GGGCACTTTTGAGGCTGCACTGATAATCTGTGCCCTGATTAAACAGTGCAGATGTCTGCTTTTATAGTTGCCGGTTAACAGCAGTACTTTCCTCACACACTGACAGCATGAGGAAAGTACTGCCGACAACCGGCAAGTGTATTTACATTTACGGTTGTTAGCTGTGATTGGACATGAGGCACGATTGCTGATCATGTGGCAAAAGGCTGCTGTGATTGGCCTTTTACCATGTCCTGTGATCCAAGGCACACAGTGATCACAGACCATGCGGGGGGCGCGTTCTGGGAGTCCAGATCCTCCCAGAACTGGACTACTGCACTGTAGCCATCATTCGGCTATAGAGCAGTAGTAAAGTGGTTAATGTCCCCAACCCCAACTACCCCAAATCTAGTAAAACCTTAGAAACCAAGCTTTCAGGTCAAATTGTACCAGTCTTGGCTATGTGCGGTGCCATTTGTTGCTATATCAAAATAAAAGTATGTTTCCCTGGGAAGGAGAAAATGGTAGGTAGCCTAAATATAAATTTTAGTTTATATAAATAGACCGAAGAGTGTTTTAAAACATGTGTCTTGAGTTCCATTTTAGCTCGTGCTGTTCATTTGTGTTAGAAGTCTTCCAGTCATACACCTTGGCAGCTTTTTCCTCCATAACTGGTTAAAGAAGAACAATGTCTTTTAAGGCACATTTAGAAATGTTTAGTGGTGGCAATCTACAAACAGATACTTACAGATAATTGCAGACTTTTTATTAGTTTCTTTCCTGTTTGTCACACGGTGGTCATTTTTACGAAGGGCAGATGAATCCATCTTTTTTTCAATTCCTGGAACATTGGGTCAGCCTCCTAGAGCAAGTGACACAAAAAATGCCTCCAATAGATGACATTTCCAAGGAGGGCACTGGTGATGTAGCCTTCCCAGGATGCTAAAAAAAAGGGGAATGTCTGCTTTAGGTAAATTGGAAGAAAAAAGTAGAGCTATAGCTCAGGACAGATAATTGTGTTTCAGGTTTCATTTTTCCCCAGATGAGGAACACAAATCAACATGTGATTGTCGCCGATGTCAGTGTGATGCTATGTGGTTTGCACTCTTGCATTACAGATCTGTGGCTTGCTTGTACTTCCTGAATGTCTGTCTATTTCAGGTTTCTTTCTCTTTTTTTTTTTTTTTTTTTTTTTTTTTTCATAAATATTTATTAATTTTCCAACAAAATTCATATTACAATGCTTTACCCCACTTTAAAGGGACAAAAGAAAACAAACATAGCAATACAATCTTACAAATAATTATCTCCCTAAAATAACTCCATACCCCTCCCCCTCCCCTTCTACCCTCCCCCCCCCCCCCCCCTTCCCACCCCATTACTCTGCGTTTTCTCCCTACCCCCCTATAGAGAGTGCTCATAACCTGCCTAGTAGAGTTTTATATCTTCATTTATTTCACCTTTCCTCTAAATTTCTCCCATTTTTCCCATTTTGCATGAAATATCCCCATCTTATCTACATGCATATAATAAAGTTTCTCCATCTCACAAATCTGATTCACTCTGACCACCCAATCCTCTTGCGTCGGTACCTCTCTCTTTCTCCAATACCTGGGAATCAGACTCTTTGCGGCACTTAGTAAATACCATGTACCCAAATTCTTATATGTTTTCACTGGTACCTCTGTATTATGGCAAAGACAAACCCCTGGGTCTAATCTAATAACTTCAGTAATCTTCCCCACTACATTAACTAATTTCTTATTTCAGGTTCCTTTCTACTCCTTTGTCTTTCTGCCACAAACCAAAGACCTACTGGTAGGTTAGAGACCCTGTCACCTTGCTCATCCATATCTCTCTTTAAAGCCCTCTGCTGGACCCAGTTGTATTTACTATGAGAGCGCTCTCCTACTGCTCCTCCTTGCAGCACTGCCATCACTGAACACCCATTATAAAATTAATAGTACTCGTGAGCCAAAATGTGATACTCCCCTTGTGCAATAAATTATTTAAAAAACTATTTCATCAAATTATGGTGCATCAACACTTTACACAATACTCATTATCTGTGTGAAACATAAATTATCAAAAAAAGTATATATATATATTTAAATACATATACAAGTGCCGCGCTCCACAATATAAACATTAAATCATATACAAGTGATCATATAAATAATGACGTGAAAAATCTTGTGCTTCAAAAATGGCAGTATAATCCACGGCATGGATGGAAACATATATATAGCATGAAGATTACCACCTAGTCCTGATAGGACAAAAGTGTTATTAGCCACTTTGTTTGGCTAATTAAGAAGGTGAGCGCACACCTATCTCTAGAGCACGGGGAGTGTGGCACAACACTGTTATTGTCACTGGAAAGAATTAAAGCACAAAGAGGACTGTATATGAATTTATTTTTGAGTATTTAAGTATTAATATTTTGAAAAGCACTAAACACTGCACTGCTTTGAAGCACAAGGTTTTTCACGTCATTATTTATATGATCACTTGTATATGATTTAATGTTTATATTGTGGAGCGCGGCACTTGTATATGTATTTAAATATATATATATATATATACATTTTTTTTGATAACTGAACACCCATTGCTTCCAGATATGGGGACATGCACTCTCTTCCCATGATAGTGTTGGACCTATCAGCCAAGTGCTAGGACTGAATACTGTCAAATGACAAAGTGGAGAGGTTACATCACTGCCCTGTGTAAGCTCAAATACCAGGTGTGTAAAACTGTCAAAGTGATTATAACGTGGTCAGACTAATTGGCAAGGTGACGGGGTCTTTTTAAATGCCCCTTCAAAAAAATAATTGGATTGTTGGATCCTGTTTCAATAGATCTCACAATTGAATGTCTCTACCACAATCCTACATTGACCCTATTTTTTTGTTTCAGTTTTTTTTCTTTTTCCCCCGGTTTTCATAGGTCAGCCTCTTTCTGTAATGTGTGTCAGTAAACTTATCTTCTGAGAATCTTGGAATTGCAGCCTTTCAGCTGACCTTGCAGTTGCAGGAAATGTTCAAGGTGTAACTCAATCTGCAGCAGCTCTCATCCCTCCCGAGTGACCTTTCACAAACTCAAGTTTGACCTCTCCTGAACTCTCAGACCAATATATATATATATATATATATATATATATATATATATATATATATATATATATATATATATATATATGCACGCGTTATGTTTGTATATGATTATACATGTTAGTATAGATCCAACCAATGCCATGTGCACCATTATAATTATAAACGATCAATACAAATGTTTAATTTCAGTTTAAATAATGTGTCAACACACTGAACAGCTACTAGAATTAAGAGCGGTTCTTTAGTCAGATGTGTGAAAATTAAACATCGGCAGCTACAAAAGCAGTAGTAGCTGTTCTGAAGTTATTGTGAAGGTTTATATTTTATTTTTCTAAATAAGATGTCATACTTACCTGCTCTGTGTAATGGTTTTAAACAAAGCAGCCCTGATCTTCCTCTTCTTGGGTCCCCCATTGGCACTCCAGGCCCCTCCCCACTGCTGAGTGACCCCAGAGCAAGCTGCTTGCTGTGGGGGCACTTGTGTGTGCTTGCTAATGAGCCGCCTCTGTGTGTGTGTATATGTGACACATAAAGAATGCATGAAGGTAAAAAACCTTCAATTTTTAGAACCACTTTAGCAAACCGTCATCTGTCCAAGGATTCAGTGCTGTTGTCACCTGATCTGGTTTCTTCATCAGTCTTCAGTCCCCAGCACTGGCATATTAACTGTGACTTGTGGCTTTACAGTCCGGCTGCCTGCTGCACAGGAGCTAGCCACTCTGCACTTGTGTGACGTGTCCCAGAAGTTTGCGGGCAGGGAGGGGGAAGGAGAGCTTCCACTCGGATCGCCTAAGCAATCTGAGCAGAAGTGGAAGGCGGTAGCTGTCAAAACTAGGCACCCCCCCCCCCCCCCCAAAAAAGAAAAAACATTTTAAATGTGGCGGAGGAGGAGGGAGAGAAGCGGGAAGAGTGGAACTTCCACGTTTGGGCGGAGTTGCACTTTAACTCTCCCTAAAACAAAATGTTTTGGGCAGACAACAATGGGATCATCCCTACTGCTCTTCCCTTATGTTTGTACCCTATAGGAACTTCTGCAATTTTTTTTTCTTTGTTTTTCTCCTTTTAAACCTATATAATAAAGGTATCAGCCTCTAACTGTTTCCTAACTACTAATCACCTATTTTATATTTTAGAGACCCCATCAGGGAAATGACACATTATCGAATTTTGTAATGACAGTGTTTGCAGCACTGAGAATATTGGTGACAAGATCTCTGGAGTCTGTAAGAGATCTGTGATGACAGCATGTGATTCAGCCTGCTAACAATCATGTAAAGCTGGTGTTTAAAGGGGACCTGTGCTCAGACAGGCAGAATCCTATTGACCAGTCATCAGTATTACCTGTTGACTCCCTGCAGCTGATCTTTTCCCCATTACAGACTTACAATACCTTGATATCCACGGTTTCTCTGTGTGTAGGCTGCCATTTGGGTAAAGGCAGGGTACGCTGTTTAACGTCAGACTTTCCTCCTGATGACTAGTGATCTGATTACTGGAATTGTGATGATCAGGAAGCGGCAGGAGCGATGGACAAAGCACAGATCCACAGAATGGATAAGACAGAGGGAGATCCTTACACTGCAGGTCCTCTAATACAGCTTGTTCTCCAGCAGGGAAAACACAGAACCATACAATAACATTGCCAAAATCTCATTCCTAATCTGGTTAGACTAGTAGTCGGAGACAACAGTGGTTTAGATTATCTCATGCTGCTGATATACAGCTACGAGGATCCAGACCCAAGGGGTCCTTAGGTTAACTGTTCTTCTTTAAAAAGATTATTTCAAGAACAAAAAAGAAAATCTTCACATTTTCAGTTCTGCTCCACTTTAATGACTTATTTTGTGTTACATTGACTGCAGTGTTTAGCACTATTTCTGATCTAATGTTTGTTTCTCTTAACAGGTATTTCTGATGCGGACATTATAAATATCTCTCTTCCCACTGGGGTTCCAGTGCTTCTAGAACTTGATGAGAATCTCCGTGCCGTCAAACCGCATGAATTTTTGGGTGACCAGGAGGCTATTCAGGCTGCCATTAAGAAAGTGGAAGACCAGGGCAAAGTGAAACCAAACGAGAAGTAAAGTGTTCCTAGATGCCTCTAGTAGGAGGTCGACTGGTGGTGCTTAAAGGACCAGTCTAGGCAAAACTAATTTTTTTGGCTATGTGTGAACATCAGTGGACTTAATTACCTGGTAAAGAGACTCTGTTATTCGTAAAAAAAAAATGGGGACTGCCATTGCAGGCTTTCTTCTATAAATACTTGTTGTCTGTATGTGACCTAACATTTTTTGAGTCAAAAAAAACAAGCAAGTTGTATGAACCAGTGTCAGAATCCTTTTATCTTTACACTTGTTTTGGGTTAGTAGGTTAAGAAACATTAAAGCTGAAGCATCAACGTGACAACCAGGCAACTAGCATTTTGAGAAGAAATGGTCAACAATGGCAGCCTTCATAATTGTTACAAGACTGATTTCCTTCCATTGAGGACCTCAGCTGCAAGCCCTTCTCTCCAATGTTCCTCACCTAGACATGGATTCCTGCTTCTCCTTCGTGATTCTCTGTAATGTGAATAAGATGAAAACCAATCTTGTGAGATTCCCTTGGATGCAGCTGATGGGCAGAGCTGGGAACTTTGATGCAGAGATCCTACCATTGGAGTTCCCGGGTGCTATGAAAAGTTGGGCTGATTCAGCTCCCAGTATATGCTAAAAGTAGAATTTTTAGTTTTTGGTAGACAACCCCTTTTATATAAAGTGATAGCAAAAATTGTAAATTTAAAATTACAACCAAACTACATTGTGTGTATGTAACAATTGGAAAATTTAAAGTGTATGTTTGTGCAGAATGATACAAAACATATGTAGTGCATCTCTGCAAAACATTCACATTTCCTTTTTGTTTTGTCGCTTTATTAATGTTGCAAGAAAAGAAAAATATCTTATTTGCCAGAAAACAAGTAAGCCTTTCTTTGAGATGGCCATAGATGGTGTGAATCTCTACCAGTTTAAGTAGGGACTGGCTGAGATTCAAACCATCCATGGGTAGGATGACTGTACCCAATTTGATTGTTGTACAAATTGGGTACAAGCAGCCTGTCAGATTTTTCATGCGATTGCCAGTGACTATAGCTGCTAGCAATAATAACTGTGTTCTCTTAGTGACTTGACAACATGCTGCCTCTGCTGCACCAAAATTGCATTGCTCCCAGCCCTGTCGGCCCCCTAAGTTCTCCTCTGCTGGACTGCAATACCCACCCTCTTTATTTTATGGAGATGAGGAAAAGGGTGGCTGTTCTATGGTCTAGCAGCGGATAACTCCGACAAGGCTGTCAGTGCTGCTTGGGATTTTAGTGCAGCAGAGGCAGCGTTGTCGGCTCACTACAGGAAGTTAGGAGCTCTTTGGATTCCTGGCAAATCAGCTGCTATTTTTCTGTATCTGCAATTTTAAAAACATAAAAAACACCTAAGAAAATGTGCACACATTGCAGAGATGTACTTTATATTTATATTGATCTTTTTGCCTCAATGTATACTTTAACTGATTGTGCTAAATGTTTCATTGTCAAGCACTTCTGTAACACAAATCATTTTTGCACCTTACCATGACCTTCTTATTCCACTGCTGTTTTTGTGGAATTGTACTATCTTAAACCTTCTTTTTTTTTTTTATTATTATTAATTTGCCAATTCACCTTTTTTGAGATTCCCTTTTTTAAGGGAAGGCAGTGAAAAAAAATATACATGGTATATATTTCCGATCTTGTTTTTCTACGTTTTTGTACAGGCTCTTTTCCAATGTGCCCAGTGATTAATGTCTGATTTTGATGCTGGTTGCCATGCAGCTGGGTATAAGAACTACTGCACGTTGAGAGCTATCTGGAGAATGTGCAGTAGATGTGTCTGCAGTTTCCCTTTTAGCAATAAGCAAAAGTTCACATTTCTCTTGTACTACAGCTGGCGGCTGAAAGAGCCTTACAGTTCTAAGGAAACCAGATAACTAGTATATACAAAATCTAAAATTTCTCTGTCCCCTGTTGGAACATCAGATGTATCAATAAGGTGGAATTGGCATTTTAAAATGAAACTCTAGCCAAATCTTGGCATGGGGAGAGATTGAAATCTTTGCTGTGTATTTATTGCTGGTCTGTTTTCGCTCTACACATATGGTGCTTGCCTCTGAGACACAAGTGAGAGTAAAGCAAGCTATAGCTGATGCGATTTTGTTTTATTGTTTTGTTTTTTTTTTTCCCTGCAACCACGGATTGCAGGAATGATAATTGCTCAATTCCCCCATCAACACAGTCAGTGTTTGATAGGAGAATCTCTCCTGCAGCACCATTGTGTTCTGCTAGTGGCTATAAACGCCTGCAGTAATCACATGCAAACAATCTGACAGGCTGGTTGTACTGTAGTTGAAACAATAGATCAACTTTAGTACAACCAGCCTGCCCATAGATTGATTGATTGTATCTCAGCCAGTCGCTGGTGAACTGGATGAGATTCGATCCATCTATAGCTGGCATAAATCTCATTAATAGGTGAACCGCAGTAAAAACCATAGACATAGGAAGCGTAAGATTCAATTTTATATAAAATTAATCTTTTTGTTCCCTTTTCTGTCCCACTCTAGTTTACAAAGCACTTCCTGCAAAACAAGAGATTACATTGACCTTCATGCCTCCAATCTTTATTATCTTCAAGCACTGCATTGGCTGAGAATTCCTTAGCACTTTCGGTGTGATCAGCTGCTTGTCCCCACACTGTGCATTGTAGCTGCATCCATTTGCTTCTGCATCACTAAACAGTAGTTGTCAGTGTATGGAACCACAGCTTAGTGGAAGGACAGCCAACCAATACCAAGCAGCCAAGTGTCGGATGCTGGAGATTTATCAGCCAACAAATGTGCTTGAAGATAGCAAAGGTCATTCACATAGGAAAGGAAAATATTAACCTTTTTTTTTTTTTTTTTTTTTTTTTTTTGCAGGGAGTGCTTTTATTTACAAAAAATATTTTAAATCTGAACTCCAGGATAAGCAAATATTTTCTAAATACAAGAGACCTGTACAGTACATTCTTACTTGAGTGATCTTGGTGTGTTTTGTGTATTTTTTCCAGATCTGTGCAGTCATCCAGTGTGACACATTACCTCTATGCAGGAGCTTCCTGTAATCAAGACCAGTCACTGCTGCTCTCGCTCCCTGTGCAGGGTGACTGGTCTTGTCTCCGCCTCCTCCTGTAGTTTTCTGCAGGCAGCCTGTAGTCATGTGAGAGCCTGCTGGGTCCCTCCCACAGCTCTGCTCCCTACACAAGCTTTGTGCAGCACAATGTTGATGTCATTGCTACTTTTACCATGTATTATCTGGGTTTGCAAAGGAATTTAGGGCACACAAAGCTGATTTTATATAGTTTCTGGCTATTAATAAATACTTTTAAAGTGGCTGTAAATTCTGACATCAATGCAGTGAAGTGAGTGGCCTCAGGCAATACAGAGGTGAAATAAATCCACCTACGTAAATTTTACCTGTTTATCTGCAGTCTTCCTTTCTCTACATATGTTCAAAATACATAATTTATACAACCTATTTGAGCTTTCAGAAAGCAAGGGGCATAGCTGACGTTACACTAAGTGAGGAGAGCTGAAAACTGATTAGAGGGAAGGGGCACACACCTGTCACACAGCACATAGGAACAGAGCTGAACCTGTCAATCATAGGCATAGGTGTGCTGGAGCTCCCTCTCCTGTCACCATTTAACTCTTGGTGTCAGAAAAACTGGTTAGTGATTCATGCAGATAGCAGAGGAATGCAGTAGACAGAAATGACACTTGGTGCTCTCAATTGAGACAAGTACACACTATAGAGGGTTATGCTTTGCTAATATTTCATGTCAGAGGTTTACCATTCCTTTTAAATGAAAAATGTTGTGCCTGGAGTTCAGCTTTAAAACCTAAGTCCATGTTTCCTGCCACTTTAAGTAGTTTGGGCAATAGTGGCCCAAGCAAACTATTTCCTTTTACTAAGAGATGTGGCTGCTGTGAGTGCTGTATCAGACTGATATCTGTTATACACAGGTTTTGTCACTTTAAATAGTTTGGGCAAAGCTGGCCAAAACAATCTTTCATTTACGAAGTGCTGGGGCTGCTGGGAGTGTGATCTCATACTGTAGTAGCACCAGATAGATACAGTATACAGTGCTGTGTTTTGGCATCATCTCGAGAAACTTTGCTGCCAGAAAAAAATCAAGTCAGGCTGAGTGCTTCTTGGCTATTCAGAGGAAGCCTTGTATATCTATAAATGAATACAAAGTATTCTCTGATTGGCTGAGGTGAAGATCATGTCATCCACCTGCCTCTTCACCTCAGCCAATCAGTGGAAGCCTTATATTCATTGATTAAAAATGTGAGGATTTCTCTGAATGGCTGAGGAACACTTAGCCTTACTCAGTTTTTTGTTTTGGCAGCAGACAGGACGACTTCTGAGATGCTGCTGGAACACCGCACTGCATACTACATCTATCTGGTGCTACTACGGTATGAGACCACACTCCCAGCAGCCCCATCACTTCATAAATGAAATTGTTTAAAATAGTTTGTTTGAGCAAACTGGCCCAAAGTGACACAACCTGTGTATAACAGACTGATGATTTGCTTCTGACGAGTTGGCCAATTTTACTGTTTTGGATTTACATCACATCTCAGTCGGCCATGCTCTGTTGGCCTTCCTCAAGATGTAAAAAAATGTTGCGGGATGGATTTTTGCTCAGGTTTTTATTGCTGTCTGTATCTCCACTGTGGAGATTCTTCTTCACTAGTCTGGTACCAGAAGTGATGTGAAATCCATTGCTTCTGAGTTGTCAGAAGAACTGGAGATGAGGGGAGAGACGTGGTCTAAAGCTCATGTACACCAACTCTGACCAGTATATCTTTGTACTCCTCACTTTATAATTTACGAGGACCTACCTAAATTATCCAATCAATTTGCACCCAATGAGGCAGGCCCTTGCATTACAAAGTTATTGGTAGATTCAAGGAGGTTGTATAGTCAGGTTGTAGTGTGTGTGCCGTAAGCTCAAGAGGAGATATC